GGCCTAAAACACGAGAATCAACATCTCAAACGGCTCAAGAACAGGGGTAAAAACATGTGCAATTAACGGTTTATCATACACGTTTGGGTTTCTGTTGTGGGCATACTTTATAACCTTATTCTTTTCCATATTGGATTAGAGTTAGACCACATGGAGAAGTATTATAAATACTTCTCATACTCCTTTGTAACCTGTATCTCCTCAAAGTATAGTGAAACTGACTCTCTCTTGCCTGTGGATTAGCTAACACATAGTGTGTTAGTCAACCACGTAAATTTGTGTGTATTGTTTGTTTATTGCTTTGGTTTTTCTTGCTTTGTTGATTCTCTAATTTCTTGATCAGTAGAAACAGTTATGAGAAGTTGTATCAGAGCTTCGGTTGGAAATCATGCTAGGGTTTCGAGATTAAAGAATGACGTCGGTGAATGTGAAGATTGAAAAGTTCATGGGGAAGACCAGGTTTGGTATATGGCAGATCAAGATGCAGGCGTTATAGAAACAACAGGGGCTGTGGGGATAACTGTCCGGTAAACATAAGAAGACATGGGTTGATGAAGATGAGTGGAATATCCTATAGGAGAAGGTCCACTCGACCATCATGCTATCGTTTTCTGATGACGTCATCATTGAAGTAAAAATTGAGAAGATTGTGGTGGGCTTGTGGTTGAATCTAGAAAGTCTGTACATGAGGAAGTCGTTAACCAACAACATGCATCTCAAGCAACAGTTGTTCAACTTGAGGATGCAAGAAGGTACTCTTTTAAGGAAACATTTGGAAAAAAATAAATTCTACCTTGTTAGATTTGCGTAACATAGATGTTAAACTTGATGACGAAGATGCTTCCCTAATCTTGCTTGTTTCTTTGTCGAGTTCATGTAAGAATTTGATGGATTTTTTTTATTGACGATAAAGATAGATTCTCATTGAAAGATGTAAGATATGATCATTATACTAGAGTGATCAGGCATAAGGTGTCCTGATCTAGTTCGTTGTTATAGGTGGAAAAGGGAAGAAGAAATCGGGCAAAAGAGAATTCGAACAGAACCACAAATTCTAAGGGTCCCGGTACATAGTCAAGTGATGTTTGTCACATCTGTAAAGAAGCGGGACATTGGAAGTACAACTATCCTAGAAGAAATGGGCAACCGAAGAACCAAAGTTTTGAAGACGATCTCACTTTGGTTGTACATGAGAAGTGGACAACAGGTATGAAGTTTATCTTGACTTGCTTGTAGATGAGAAGGCCCATCGTGGCAATGTGTGGTTTCTAGATACTGCAGCCTCGTATCATATGCCTCCGAATAAGGATTGTTTTTCAACCTAGAAGCATATAGATGGTGGTAACGTCTTTATGGCCAATGAAGTTGTTTGCAAAGTGGTTGGAGTTGGGTATATCAAGATTCAAACACATGATGGTTCATGTTGTACCGTGAATGAAGTCAGACATTTTCCACAAGTGACAAAGAATTTGATCTCTTTAAGTCTTCTCGTCAACAAGGGTCTCAGTTTGAAGGGAAGAGGTGAAGTTGTGTATGTCGCAAAGGTTCAAAGAAGGTATTGAAAGGAGTGAAGCGTGGAACCTTGTATAGATTTGGATTAGTATTAGACCACATGGATAAGTACTATAGATACTTCTCATACTCATCTGTAATCTCTATCTCCTTGAAGTATAGTGACACTAGCTCTCTCATACCCGTGGATTAGCTACCATACATTGTGTTAGTAAACCATGTAAATTTGTGTATGTTCTTCGTTTATTGCTTTTGTTTTTCTTGCTTTGTCGATCCTCTGATTTCCTGATCCGTAAAATTCGTGATAGTATCTATGGTTCAGAACAGAATGCATCATTTCCCAACCCTAATCAATTCTCATCAAGAATTTGAGAGCTTGTAACAAATCACGCTTCAATATGTGAGTTTTCTGAATTGCTGGGGTTCGTGGGTTTGAAACTTAAATAAAATAGTAGGTCGAAAGCTCGTGCCCTGCACAAAATGTTCCATTCTTATATTATTAATATTTTTTATTGTAAATACGAAATAATATGCTAACAAAAAATAAAAGTAACACAATACACTTTTCAATTGTGTGAATCAGTAAATGGAACGACAAAACCTAAGATTGGTGTAAGAAAGTGTGTGTTCAACCACATATAACACTAGGTTGAAGCTACTAAGTCATGAAAGCCAATACACTTCGATGACCAGTTAGGCCTCATATTCAAAAATAGTACTCTATGAAAAAATTGAATTTATTTGAATAGTTGGAAAACTCACAAACATTGTCATTCGATAATTATTTTCAAATGAAAAATGGATCACCGAAATACGCGTGATCAGTCAACCTCCAGTTGAATAGCCGAAAAACTGTCAACCTCCAGTTGAATAGCCGAAAAACTCACAAAGATTGTCAATCTATAGGAATTCAAAAATAGAAAATGCATCATCAGAATACACATTATCCGAATACACATGATCATTCGGTTTTCAGTTGAATAGCCGGAAAGCTCACAAAAAGGTCAATATATAAGAATTCAAAAATGAAAAACATATCGTCGGAATATGCGTCAAATACGAACAAAGATGCCGATTTAGAAGAAAAAACAAAGAGATAAAAGAAATGAAAATAGGATTATTATAAGGTTAATAATAAAAGAAATCATTAAAAGAAATGAGATAAAATATATGTCCATTTAAATGAAAGAGAAATACAAATTATGCAAATACATGATTTCTTACGTTAATTTATTTGAATATTGAAAAACAGACAAAGATTTCCCATCAATAATTATTTTAAAATGAAAAATGGATCACCAAAATATGTGTGGCAGAAATACGTGTGATCATTCAACCTCTAGTTGAATAGCTGGAAACCCCATAAAGTTTTTCAATTTATAAGAATTTTAAAAATGGATAAAGCATTATTGATATACATGTGATCCGAATACGAATGATCATTCGACTTTTAGTTGAATAGTCGGAAAGCCCACAAACAAATTAGTATATAAGTATTTGAAAATAAAAAACACATCCTCGGAATATGCATCAAATACGAACAACTATGTAGATTTTAGAAGGAAAAACAAAGAGAGATAAAAAAAATTGAAAATAAGATTTTTATAAGGTTAATTATACAAAAATGATAAAAAGAAGAAATCAGTTAAATATGTGTCCATTTAAAAGAAAGAGAATTACAAATTAATGCAAAAGGTTAACATCCTCAAAATTATAATTATTTACAAAGTAATCACTGCGTTAAAGAATTGATGTGGTGATACCACTAGTTTTGAATCTGAAAGTCACATGTTGGAATCATTTCAAAAGCACCTAATTATAAAAATCAATCTATATCACCCTTATCTAAAAAAAGAATTAATGGATTATTCTATCCCTTGAGGAGGATAGCAAAATGATACTGAAAATGTCAATAAAACTTAGGCAAAATACCTGTATAGCCATAACTATTAGTTTTCTGACAATAATATCCACTTTTGGGGAAATACACAAAACAGTTAGATTTTGGATGACAGGTTGATAGATCTAGCCATTTTCGTTTAAAACTTTAATGGTGTTAGAATCGACGCACACGTCAATGATAACTCAACACGGCTTGCCAAGTGGATGCCACGTCATATTTTTCAATACAGTCGTATAGCCAAAACTTTGATACTAGTGACTAATATAGCCATTTTTCAAAACTATAAATTCTGCCTCCTGAAATTCCTCCATTACACTCCAAATCTCATCATTCTCTTGACCCAATTCAAAAATTCTGGACAACAAATGTTGATGGTCGTGCGGGGGCTATGGATCCCCCTTCAGTTTCCTTCCTTGCCCTCTTTCTTGTGCCATCAACATATGCGTTCACCTTTTTCAACTTGCCCCTCTCCTCTCGAGCCCACTTTGTCGCCATCTCTCTCTGGTAATACGAGAGGTTTTGTGGTCTCATCAAGTCATGGAAAGCGTGATATAGTTTGTGATAACTCTTCCGGTCGGTATGCCAGCCTCGATTAATTATTTTTTGCCTTTGCTTAAGTTTGTTCATGCCTTAATTGTTTCTTATATTTATTTTTGAATTATTTAGGTTAAGAGGACGATGAGAATTGGAGTAGGAATGATGAATTTTGAGAGGCGAGACTTTTAATTTTGAAAAATGGCTATATTAGTCATTACTCATTAGTATCAAAGTTTTGGCTATACTAACGTATCAACAAAATATGACGTGGCATAGGGATGGCAAAAATATCTCTAAACGTGGATATCCGTCCAAATCCGACCTAGTCGGGTAGGGTAAAATCCGAAGCCGAAGGACTTTTAGTGGGTATGGGTAAAACCCGAACCCGAATATTGCGGGTCATCGGTGGGCATGATTTTCTCACTATCCAACACGAAGCCGTCCGATTATACACATGCACATGTATTTTGTCTAGAGATAAATATTATTTTTCTCTAACATATTTTGTATTAAGCATATAAATATAGTATGTTCATAAAATTGTGTTGCTTTAATTAATTTTCTTCATTCTAATGAATTATTGTTGTACTTTTCTTTTTAATGTAATGTGAGAATACGTGTGAATGTTTACATATTACTTGAAGTTATAAAGAGAAATTATTACCTATGGATAACCGTGGATATCCGAAACCCGAACGAGTATGGACATGGTTTTGATTTTCTACACGTTTCTAATGTGGGTATGGGTATGTGTAATACTTGAACTACTATGGGTAGGGTAACGGATATACACTATCCGCCCCCGACCCGACCCAACCCATTGCCATCCCTAACCTTGCAAGATATGTCGAGTTGTCGCTGACGTATGCGTCAATTCTAACGCCGTTAAAGTTTTTAACGAAAATGATTAGATTTGTCTAACTACCATCCAAAATCTGACTATTTTGTGTATTTATTAAAAAATGACTATTATTGTCACAAATTCGATAATTATTACTACTCGTTGTAAATTTCTATAAAAAAAGAAATAAAGCAATACAGTTGTAGTATTTATTACTTGAGGCACCGAGGGAACCGAAAAGTAAAAAGGCGAAATCCACCGGCAGTGTACAGTTTACTCACAATTTTAAAAGCGCGGAATTAACGTTGAGCTTGGCCTTCTTCTAAGTTCTATCCATCAAAGCCAGGCAAGGAAGAAGTAGACGAAGGAAAAGGAAGTTCCGGAATTTTCAGCAGCAACTGAAAACTTAAGAAACAAAATGCCGTTCTGGCAGACGGCGGGAAATGCAACCACTTCATCCTCGTCTTCTTCTTCCTCTAACACGAACTCGTCTTCCACATCTTCCAGCTCCTTGAACAGCACCGCCCACCACAACAGAGCCGGCGGCGATCCGAATCAGCAAAACTACGGCGAGCCTCCTGGAGGAGAGAGATCGCCAACCACAGTCTCTGCTGCTACTGCCGTTTCGCTTGTCGCCAAGTCGTTATTGCCTACCCGAAGGAGGCTCAAGCTTGATCCTGCCTCCAAGCTCTACTTCCCTTGTAAGCCCTGCCTTTTCTTTTTCTCTTCCCCATTAATGGGTTCACTTTCTTTTTATACATACTTGTGTCGGATCATTGGATTTCCATCTGATTTTAGCCATCATTTGCTTAGTGTTCAATTCAATTGTTTGTGTTTTTGTTTTCTTGGGCTTGCTTCACAGACAGTAATGTGCTGTTCTATTGTTACAGTTAACAGAATTCACTATGATGGTCGATTTTGATGTTTTACTCAAGAAATTCTGCTTGGCATTTTGTCGAACATGTAGAGTTCATTCAAAGAAATTCCATTATATGATTCTTCTGCATGCTGTTTAAGGATCCAAGTTCTATTTCACCACGGTGGTCTGTTTCAGCTACTTTTATGTCATCCTACAAGGCACAAGCTTCTCTGTTAGCTGATTCCATGCTGGAGTGATTTCCCTTTTCATAATTTCTGATTCGTTTCAAAATTGTGGCTTTGAAGATGAACCAGGGAAGCAGGTAAAGAGTGCAATTGGCATTAAAAACATTTGCAAGTCCCATATTGCTTTCAAGGTATGGACCAAATGCATACTCTCTGCTAATATCTATTTGCAGAATCATTCTACTCCCTTTCAAGGTATGGACCAAATGCATACTCTACAAAGCTGCACCAGCTCAGCTGTCACCAAAATATAAACCCTTTAGGTTCATTTGCTTTCTTATGCTTCTAGTTGTCAGACAAACAGGATTGGCTTAACAGCTAATATAATCTGGACTGTCGGAATATAACATGTGTATATGGATTATGGAATGAGTTAGGGATAAGTTAAACAGTCATTTTGATCGTCTAATGGTCGGTACATGTATTCTCACGTTGCTGTTTGCATTATTGTTAAGGAAAAAAGGAAAGCTAATTGCTTGAAATTTGGGCTGTTTGTTTTGTAGTTCCAAACAACTGCACCTAAGAGCTGTTACATGCGTCCTCCAGGAGCGATACTTGCCCCTGGTGAGAGCCTGTTTGCAACTGGTAAGAATCTAGAGCCACCCATGGCTGCTTGAATTATACGATGGTCAATTTTCCGTCCTAGACTGAATCATGAAAACTGTACAGTGTTCAAGTTTGTGGAGCCACCAGAGAACATTATTGAGAGGCAACTGGATTTAAAAAGCAGGGTCAAGTTCAAGATCATGAGCTTGAAGGTTAAAGGAGAGATGGAATATGTACCAGAGTTGGTATGCAACATTCTCAGTTTATGTTTTGCAACTCGTCTTCATCCATGGACCGTTAAGACTAAATTAATGATCTGTTCATGTAATGTTTACGAAGTTTGATGACATGAAAGATCAAGCAGCAGTGGAGCAAATTTTGCGGGTTGTTTTTCTTGACCCCGAAAGCCCAAACCCTGTAAGTATTCTCGAAAAGAAAAAAGAACTTGCTACCTCTGGACCTAGAAAGATTGCAACTTTCTGAATCTGAGGAGACATTGATGCCGCACCAATGAGGAGACATTGATACTTTATTGTTTGCATATCCAAGGCACTGCAAAAGCTCAATAGACAACTTGCTGAAGCGGAAGCTGAACTCGAGAACCGGAAGAAGCCTCCCGAGGAACCAGCCCCTCGTCCTACTGGTGAAGGGCTCGTCATAGATGAATGGGTAATTTCAACCTGCTTGGTCTCTTTACTCTCCTTACATAAGTTATCACTTCACTGTGGCTTACAGTTGTTAATGCTGCTCCATTTCTGGGGGTCTTTCCGCAGAAAGAGAGGAGGGAGAGGTACCTAGCCCAGCAACAGGTTGAAGTTGGTCCGGTGTAGAAGTAAACTGTTTTTATCATTTATTTGTTGTTGTTAGCTTTGTTGTGCTGAAGTTATCAATTACTGTGTGGTCACATTGAGGGAATCAAAGAGAGAGAGAGAGAGAGAGAGAGAGAGAGAGAGAGTCATCTTGACAGAAGCGAGGTGTAAAGTAGCATTAAGAAGGTGTTATCGCATTGCTGTTGCTTAATGATGAGGGAACAGGATCTGATTTTGATCAGTTCAATGTTGGTCAATTATTAGTACATATTCATAAATCATAATGGTGAATAGCACTATTAGATAATCAGTTAATGGTTATCCTAATCAAAGGACGTGCTTGGCTTAGGTGGATATGTGCAGAAATATGCTGGCATCCATCACATTAAGTCATTAACAAACCATTATTAAAAGCATGGACATAATAATCCATTCCGCACTGAAAGGGAATCAGGGAACAGGACTTTGATAAGCTACAAACCTTTCCTGTTTCTGCATTCGATTATAAATTATTTATTCCCTATCCCTTTATGAAAGAGGCAATGTTAACAGAATTACTATTTGCGGCCAACTTTCCAAAAATACCTCAATCATATTTTCTACATATACTAATACGACTTCGAGAAAGGAGTTGTTAACAAAATTACTATTTGCCACCAACTTTCCAAAAATACCTCTAATAATATTTTCTACATATACGACTTCGAGTAAGGAGTTGTTCACAACTTACTACAACAAATATTCAATTCCACCCACATCCAGAAAACTTTAAAAAATCGGCAAAACCGACGTTTTGTTAAAGAAGCAATCATATACTAAACTCATCGGAGAAGCGGAATTTTGTCGCACTCTGTGCACATGCAACCATCATTCGTCACTAAACATGTATTTTTTTCATTATAGAATTTTGCAATCCGGCGAGCTTTTCTGGCACAGCAGACAAGGCCGAAAAGTTTTGGTGACGTGAACCTGGCCTGACCGAAGGAAAATAGCGGCATGAACTTAGTCGGGCAGGAAAATGTCATTGTCGATACCTGGTCGAGCCAATAGAAATTCTCGGCATGACCAAGTGCAGCCGAAATATTTTTTCGTCCCCGCTAGGTTCAAGCCGCCCATTTTCGTCGGCCCATCCATGTTCAGGCTCCCGAAATTTTTTGGCCCGGGAGGTTTCAGCAGCCAAAATTAGGGTTTAAGGTTTGAATTTATAGGGTTTGAATTTAGAGCTTAGAACTTGAATTTAGGGTTTAGGGTTTGAATTTATAGTGTTTGAATTTAGAGATTAGAACTTGAATTTAGGGTTTAGGGTTTGAGTTTAATATTGATGTGTTATATAATTATTGTAATTGTAGGAAAACTGTCATAATGGTTCAACCAGCTCTTTGATTAAGAAAAGAATTGCTCAATCGCATGGGTTCTTTATTATCAGCAGATCAAGAAAACCGTATACTGATAGTCCACATCCTGTTGATCGCTATTAATGTATTGCGATAGATCTAGCAGGATGGAGAAGTCATACAAACCAGACCCTATGAAGGAGCGACGTGGGAATACTAGTTCAAAGGGTATTGATTGCCAGTTTGAAATATGCATTAAAGAAGTTTGGCAAAAGTATCACCCAAGCACTTGGGTTTTACACGGGGTGAGATCACGTCGAACTGGGAAGAACAGGGGGTTTCACGACCATGAGAAGGTGTTGTGTCCAGAACGTCACAGTCATAACAAAAAGTTTAGTGACGATGATAAAGCTCGGACAAGAGGGATGAGGAAGGCGGGGGTGAATCCATCTCAATAAAAGACGACGTTGGATTCTGAAAAGTGTGTTCGGCATGATATTATATAGATCTACAACTTAAACATCAGGACAAGGTTGAATGAAATCAGTGAAATGGATGCGATGTAGTTTGCGCTTCAAGGAGTTGAAAAGTTGAATTCCCATATTCAACATGAGAAGGACGTCGATAATGTGCTCACCAATATGTTCTTTGCATACCCAACTTCTATTCAGACGTCCATAACATGCCATGAGTTGAGATTATTGGGGTTACTCAAGTGAACAAAAATTCCAACATTGCATATGCACTTATTACAAGAGAAACAAAGGAGACGTATGAGTGGGTGCTTAGATATCTAAAAGAGTTGTTGGGTCCTCAATCCAAATGTGATTGTTACAAACTAAGAAGGCGATCTACTTGCTTCCATACCTTTGGTCTTCCCCGAGCAACATACCTACTATATTTTTGGCACATCAACAACAACGTGAAGGCCAAGTTTGAGTCGATATTTGGGGGGTGTAAAATAGAGTGTTGGCAATTGAGGTATGGTCTAAGTATTCTAGGGAGGCTGCATATTCACTACAAGAAAACTGTCGTTTTGCGTCGGTTATTTCTTAAGTTTTGTGTCGGTTATAACCGATACAATTTTTTTTTGTCGGTTCACTTAACCGACACTAAACCTGTCGACACTAACCCGAGTCATGTGGTTAATGGAAACCGCCAGAATACCGACACAAATCATTTTATACCGGTTACTTTGCGTCGGTTGAACCGAATCTAATCATTTACTAAGAAAAATTATTTTTGGAATTACATTAATCCTCTGTGTCTGTTTAACTGACTCGAAATAACCGACACAAATTATAAAAAATAATAGCTTCCGCCGAAAGCTGATTGTTGCCTCATTGCTGCCCTTTCCAATCCAGATCGATGACAGATCTTTCTTCCACTCGCCCACATACCCCAAGAAAAAAAAACCTTGAAATCACAGAGTACCCAGGAAACCTAGATCCCATATTTTCTTCTTGAGGACGCAAAAATGCAAAAACCCAAAAAGTCCAATTTCACCTAGGATCTCGGAGGGGATCAGGATGGAAAAAACGACAGGAGAACAGATATGAGTAGTCGACTCCAGCTTCACCTAAAGACAACAATGACATGTGAGGCCAATGATGGCAACGACAACCGCAACCAGGATGGCGATTTTGGTGAGGTCGTGGAAGTGTTTCCCTGCGAGAAAACTTGCGTTGAATTGAGATGGATTGCACCTTTGACTTCTATGGACAACGATTTCTAAGACACGGCTCAAACCTCTTCAAACAAAGTTCGAACAAGGGTGTTTGATTGATGGTTTTTGGGAACGAGATCTAAATTAAATTACTTCTACTCCTATGGAGGTTCGGCGAGAGCTCCAAACTACGAACTACATCTATGGCTACATGATAGAGAAAAGGTAAAGGATAAACTTGACATGTGTGTCAGAGTGTTGGTTTTTGAACCCCTGTCTCTGTCGACCCCTCTTCTTATTTATAGCCTCGAGGAGGTAACCGCCATAGAAAACCGCTTGTTGGATAATTGCTACAAAGAACCGCTCCTCCTTCTTCGGTAGAAAACCGCCTCTTGGATAACTCCCAAAAAGAACTGCTCCCTGCTTCCTCGGAGTGGTGGTTACTCCTCCAACCGCCTAGGTGCCTCACTTGGAACCGTCGTGGGTTTGGAGTGTAGCTTGCCTCGCCTAGTCTTGTTCTGAATCTCGTGCCATGCTAGTCTTTTGACGAGCATGTAGTGTCTCGCAAAGGGGGTCGTGGTCTTCTTGCCTCGCGGCCATGAAATTCTTACTCATGTCCATGGCCTTCTTGTCTTACGACCATGAACTTCTTACTTATGTCCATGGCCTTCTTGTCTAACAGTCATGGACCTCTTGAGACATATTCACTGTCACTAGTGATATAATGCTCCATCACCACGCCCTTCTCATTTGTGTCCATGGCCACTCTTGTGAGACGACATGGCTTTCTCATGATTATAATTTAGCATGGCATCTTGCTCGCACCCATGGACCTCTCCATCATGGACATGGCCTCCCTTGTGAAGCGGCCAGTCCTTTCCTATACTTAGAATATTTTTGGTTGTTTGGGTTTAGATCATGAGGTGACATGGCCTCTTTATTCGCGGCCATGGACTTCTCATTCACGTTTGTGGCCCTTTCTGCTGGACGGCATTGGTCTCCTCGTACTTGGTATTGTTCACATGCCCAGGTCCTCTTGTCTCGTGTCCATGGCCGTCACATATGACAAGGCCATGGACCTCTTAATCACCCATATGGCCCTTCTCATGAGGCGGCATGGCCTTCTTATACTTAGTAACTTTTCTTGCATCCATGCCCCTTCTCGTGAAGTGGCATGGACGTCTCATCTTGTCTCGCGTCCATGCCCCTTCTCGTAAAGCAGCATGGACCTCTCATTGAAGCGGCATGTACCTCTTCCAGACTTAGTTTATTTTTCAGTTATTCGGTACTGGTCGCGGGGCGGCATGTGCTCCTCAATTTCTAGATGGACATTGCCCTCTTCGTTGAGGCGGCATGTCTTTCTCCGTGAAGCGACATGTACCTCTTCCAGACTTAGTTAAATTTTCACTCCTTCGGTCTTATTGGTGAGGCGGCATGGCCTCTTCGTTGAGGCGGCATGGCCTCTAGATTTCATACGGACGCGACTCTGTTTGATGAGGCGGCATGTCCCTCTGTAGACTTAGTGGCTATGGACTTCTCATACTTAGAAATTTTCATGCCATCTCGTGGCATGGCATGGCCTCTTATGAGAGGCCCATGTCCCTTATTGAATCATGTCCATGCTCATTAATGAGCTAGTGACTTGGGTTTAAAATCAATATCCATAAGGCCCAATTTAAACAACATTAATTGTTATAATGGGTGTGGCATTATAAACTCCTTGATTATCTTGTAACTCACCAATGTGGTACAAGACAAAATTTATGGTGTAAACAGGAAGGCTCTGTGGTCTCTGATTGTGGAGGCGGTGAGTGAAAACGTTCTTGCGATGGAGGGATGATGCTATGGCCGGAGTTAGAGTGCGGCAGGAAAATGAGGCTGCGGTCAAAGGTAGAGAACACGGAAGCCAACAGATCGAAGAGGGCAAGAAGATGATGGGAGACGGATGAACTAGGGGGAATAAGGGGGTGAATTTGTTTGAGATGGCAAAAGGATAAGAAGTAAAACGAGAGAGAGAGAGAGAGAGAGAGAGAGAGAGAGGAAAGGGGCTCGTAAAAATTGGGGAGGGTTTAGTTTTTTGGGATTGAGCGGTTGGGGAGAGGAATTTTTGGCGGCCACTTGAAAATTGGAATTTTCCAATTTGGAGCCAAAAAATCCATCAAAAGTTATGTCGATTGCCATATAAACCGAGGAAAAACCACTTAAAATTGTGTCGGTTCATGCATAAACGACAAAAATTCATGAAACTTTCGTCGTTTCTAGCTTAGCCGACACAAAACCAAAAAAATTTGA